AATCTACGAAACAAATTATCTAAAGACATACTAACTATGGATGGCATTAATTTGGCCTCCAGTGAGACTGTAAGGAATCTTGGTGTTATATTTGATCAGGATTTATCCTTTAACGCCCACATAAAATCAATTTCAAGGACCGCCTACTTCCATCTACATAACATTGCCAAAATCAGGCATATCTTGCCTCAAAACTATGCAGAGAAACTAGTCCATGCATTTGTTACTTCAAGGCTGGATTATTGTAACTCCTTATTATCACGGTGTACCAAAAAGTCAGTCAAGTCGCTTCAGCTGATTCAAAATGCTGCAGCTCGTGTACTAACCAGAGTTAGGAAAAGGGACCACATTACTCCTGTTCTGGCTGCCTTACACTGGCTCGCTATAAAACACAGGATAGAATTTAAAATTCTTCTTCTCGCCTACAAAGCCCTTAATGGGCAGGCGCCATCTTACCTTAAAGAACTTATTATACCCTACTGTCCTACTAGGGCATTGCGTTCCAAGAATGCAGGGTTGTTGGTTGTTCCTAGAGTCTCTAAAAGTACAATGGGAGCCAGAGCCTTTTCTTATCAAGCTCCACATTTGTGGAATCAGCTTCCAGTTTGTGTTCGGGCGGCAGACACCCTATCCGTTTTTAAGAGTGCGCTTAAGACCTTCCTTTTTGATAAAGCTTATAGTTAGGGCTGATTAGATTCAGCCCCTAGTTTTGCTGATATAGGCTTAGTTTGTCGGGGAACATCTTACTTCTTCCTTCTCTCTGTCTATACCTGTGTACTCTCATGTTCCGATTAACCCAGCTTCCCCAAATGTCTTTCTTTTCGGTGTCTATATACGCTGGGATCCGGAGTCATGGATGATCCTGCGGTCCTGTGTCCTGCATCACGAGCCCTGGATCTTGAGTCATGGCTGTGGTCCTGGATCATAGGTCCTGGATGGATATCCTTGTGGATTCATCTTCCTATTATACACACATGCATTTCCAAACATTTGTACTACCTATGTTGCAAATGTATTATCTGTTCAATTTACACACGGCATTTATTGCACGTCTGTCCGTCCTGGGAGAGGGATCCCTCCTCTGTTGCTCTCCCTGAGGTTTCTCCCATTTTCCCTTTAAAACTGTGGGTTTTCTCCGGAAGTTTTTCCTTGTACGATGTGAGGGTCTAAGGACAGAGGGTGTCGTATTGTCATACTGATATTCTGTACAAACTGGGAAGTCCACTGAGACAAATGTAACATTTGTGATATTGGGCTATATAAATAAACATTGATTGATTGATTGAGAGGAGGGGAAGCAGCAGGCGGTTAGAGAAATGAGAACTCCTCTCCTCTGAGCGGTCATTTTAAAGAGACGTCCATTAATGTTGACAGGAGGCACAGCAGCCCTCTGTCTGATGGACAGATGTGTTCATGACCACTTATATATTTACTTTTAATATATATTTTACACACGGCTCTGCTTTATGCATGGACCTCACAGCTGTTCTCACTGTAAACATCGCGACGCAATGAAAGCAGTTAATAAAATAATATCCAGGGGATGCATGCATAGCTGTCATTGGCTGAGATAAGTCCGGCCGTGCGTCACGCCTCCACCGTTCCCGGAAATGCATCCGTGGAGGAGCCGTGGAGGACCCATCAGTGTCTCCTCGGTTAGAGCTCCTCCAGAGAGCCTCCTCGATGCGCATTTAGAGAAATGAGATGTCCTTCAACATGGCGCGCTGAGATCCATTTCCGGGTCACTACCGGAGGACCGAGGAGTCGAGATTAGATTATTGAGAAGCCTTCAAGTGACCCCTGTAGCTGGGCCCATGCTCACAGGTGCTGACAATCAGGAGCCAATCACCGCCATTTACACTGGGGGGGGACCAAAGTCAGGCAATGCCTACATTTGATTCCTAAACAAAATGATTCAAACACACATTGCTAGAGTCCTGTGCATCTTCACACTTGACCTACTTGTACTGGGACCCTGTCTCACATGCAAGTGGGCTGTTTAATCCTCTGCACAAAGCCCCTGCCAGACACCACGTCATAGAGCTGCATATCTGATCCTTATGTTGAAGGATTACACGGTCTCACTATGTTGCAGTCTTAAAGCATCCATTGAAGGAATTTAATGCATACCAGCAGGAAAATAAAAAGTTAGACTCGAGGTGTGAGAAGGGTATTTTTTTATGGTATGATAAAAACAGCCCAGCATACCTAGTCTACAACCCAGACAAAGGTAGTGTTCGAAAACACAGGCAAGTGAAGTTTGTCACAAAAAGTATAGTCGAGCGACATACACAGACTGATTTTGAGGCAAGTGATGACGATTTTTATGAGAAAAGTTTGTATCCACCAAGCCAGAAACCCAGGGGACTGACTCGTGTCCAAAAGAGACACAGGAGGCTCGAACGGAGACAGATGGCACAAACACTCGGAAAGGAAAGGGAGCAGAAGGTCAAAATAGAAGCTATCCCAAAGAGACAGGAAGATACCTCAGTATTTAGAGGACTACGAATGTAAAGTACAGTGTGACGACCAGAAGTATGTAAATATTGACTACTGCAACAGAGTAATGTGCAATGTACCAAACACCTTTAAAGAGGCCATGAATTCAGCAGAGTCAAAACTCTGGACTGATGCTATGCAGGAGGAAATGAATTCTCTTAAGGAAAATGACACATTCACATTGACCACACTACCAGAGGGCAAAAATGCAGTGGGGGGTAGATGGATCTATACAATCAAAGAAAACACAGAAAAGACTGAGATATATAAAGCCATATATGTTGCCAAGGGATATAGTCAAGTGGCAGGAATAGAGTATAAGGAGACATTTTCCCCGACTGCAAACATGACATCAGTAAGAAGCTTGATGCAACTGGCAGCTCAACATGACTTACACCTACATCCGATGGAAGTTAAAACTGCGTATTTACATGCTCCAATTGATTGTGAGCTGTATGTACAGCAACCTGAAGGTTTTGAGGTCAAGTCAGACACAGATGAAAAGCTAGTCTGCAAGCTGAATAAATCACTGTATGGGTTAACAATACAATCTGGAAGAAACTGGAATAAAATGTTGCATGATCATCTCTGTGAGAACGGTTTTGCACAAAACCCAGCTGATCAGTAAAGGAATAGAAAATGAGAGGATCATTCTGATTATTTGGGTGGACGACTTCGTTATCGCAGCTAATGATATTCACACAATTAATACTGTGAAAGAAATGTTGAGCACAAAATTCAAAATGAAGGATCTTGGGAAACTTAAACATTTCCTAGGCATTGACTTTACTCAGGAAAAAGGAGAAATAAAGATAGGTCAAAAGAAATTCATTACAAAAAATACTGGGAAAGTTTGGTATGAATGGCTGTAAGCCAAGGTCCACCCCATGTGAACAGAAACACAACTTTGATGATGATGGTGAAGCTGTTGATGCAACACAATATCGTGAAGTGGTAGGCAGCTTAATATATTTAATGACATCTACACGGCCTGATCTAAGTTGGATAGTCAGTAAACTGTCACAGTATTTTTCAGAGCCAAAAGAACAACACTGGTTAACTGCTAAACATGTATTGAGGTACTTAAAGGGCACAATTAATCAGGAGCTATGTTTTAAACAAGATGAAAAACTGAAACTTGTTGCATACTGTGATGCGGATTGGGCAACAGACCAAAATGACAGACGGAGTATAACAGGGTACTGTTTTAGTCTAACTAGCAATGGGCCTGTTATTTCTTGGAGATCAAAGAAACAGCAAACAGTAGCTTTGTCGACATGTGAGGCAGAGTACATGGCACTGGCTGCCACAGCACAAGAGAGTTTGTATCTTGTGCTGCTAATAGAGAGCATGGACAGTGAGGGTCAATATACTCCTGTGAAAATCTTTGAAGATAACCAGGGTGCAATTGCTCTATCCAAGAACCCAGTATGTCGTCAACGATGTAAACATGTGTATATCAAGTATCATTTTGTTCGAACTGTACTGAGTGATAACATGATAACCATTGACTATTGCCCTACAGCTGTTATGGTTGCTGATATTTTCATTAAGCTTGCAACAAAGGTCAAAAGTGAGAAATATGTAAAGTATTTGTTTGGAATGGAATGTAAATAACCCCAGCAATTTAAAACACTGTGTTATTGTGCAAGTGAGTGAGTAAGGTGTTTACATTTGAATTCATGTTGAGAAATTGTGCAGTATAAGAGTAAGTGGGGGTGTTGAATTATAATATATGAATTTGTTTATTTAATACTCTTATACTAATCACTTCCTGTATTCCCGTGATAAAAGGGACACGCGCAATAAAACGTGTAACTTCCGGTTGAAGCAAAGCCGACGGTGTATGTGTGTATTTATTCCTCTTTCACGTTAAACTATGTTCACGGTATTCCTGCCCTAAGATCATGGCATCGATAACAATCATTATGTAAATAATTAGAACACGTCTAATGCAATTAGATACAATTTAACAGCTGCACACAACAACCTCCGAACGACCACTACGTTAAATGAATAATCTTCTAGCTTCATGCTGTTAAGAGTTATTGCAAGGCTGTTGTTACGCTGCATTAGCTTTGAGCTTGGTGTAACGTTACCTAATAAAACTGGCAACCGTATACCTGAACGTTATCAGCCATCCTCCCATTTTAACGCTAGCTAACGTAAAGCTTATCAGTTTCGGGCGCAACTAGCAAACATACAAATAATGTATTATAACAACACTGGTGTTTTGTCAAAGAGCATATGAATTTGTTCTTCCCTGATTAAGTAAAGTAGATCACATGTAGTGCACAGCTTTAGCACAACAGCAGCTAGCTAGCGTTAGCAACACCACCTACTGTTATGATTTGAGAACACTAGCTAGCACCAAGCTAAACAACGTCCGGGTAACGAACATCACACTGCCCTAAATACAGAAACTAACAAGGTGACATTTGTGTTATTTTAACAAGGTAGATTACTGAGGATACAAATCGTATCAAACTGCTCTGTGTTACCTTGGTTTGCAGAGGGCTTTCGGTCCATGATAAACTGGTTTGTCTCGCTTTGTTGGACCGTCGGCGGGTGCTTCTCGGCAGCTCCAAGCAGGATGTCGTAGTGGTTGTTTGAGACCTGAGTCTCATTTTACTTCTTTAAATGGAACTGTTTAACGTAGAAAACATCAAACTCGTCCACTGTGATTAAGCTTTCAGTCCGATCGCTTTGCCCCCTTCTTTATTTCCCCCTGCAGTCCGGGTTCAGGGTGTAGCTCCGCCCCGTGTCTTCTCGATCAGCAGCGTGTTCAAATCTGCCGGGTGCGATAGGTTCAGCACTGCGGGCAGCGGAACTGGGCGGTGCTTAAGAAAGCTCCAGGCTGAAGTCGAATAGTCCATTTAGTTTAGGAACCTTCCCAGCGCCATATAGATAGAATATTCTATTATATGGCTCTGAACCTTCCTAACGGAGTGAAATGACCCGGAAATCCCTCAGTGGCAGCCATGATAAGTGCCGTTCGAATTCTAGATGATAGGAAAGGAGGTTTCATTCAAACTTCCTTTATAACCTCCTTTTCTTAGGAACCACTGGACCTCCCTTGACGACAGGAGAGGAGAAAATGCTGCCCCACAATGCCTTGCAGCCGCGGCATTTGCCGTCACACAACAGTCGGCCGTTCACGGAAACAACCGATTATGACCGAAAAATTATATCATGAAAGTTACGGTGCTTATTATTATTATTAATAATAATAACAATAATATAATTATATATTTATTTAGTTAGCGCTTTTACAGGTGCTCAAATACGCTTTACAGATATAGTGAAAAGAAAAGAAAGGAACAACAAATAAATATATAGTTAAAGTTAAAGTCAAATAGAGTTTTTTGAAGGTGGTGGTGAGGACAGTGCAGTCTCTGATGGGTTGTGGGAGTGAGTTCCAGAGGGAGGGGGCAGCGACGGAGAATGCTCTGTCCCCCCAGGTCCGGTGATTGATGTGGGTGCATGGATAGGAGGTTGGCTTCTGATGAGCGGAGGCAGCGGGAAGGGGTGTGGTGGTGCAGCAGGTCTGTGAGGTAGGGGGGGGGGGGGGCTGATTGTTGAGGGCTTTGTGAGTAATGAGGAGGACTTTGAAGTTGATTATTTGACGGACAGTGGAGGTGGAGGACGCGAGTGATGTGGTCTCGGGAGCGGATGTGGGTGAGGAGGCGGGCAGCAGAGTTCTGGATATGATGGAGTTTATTGAGGAGGTTGGATGGTATGCCGTAGCAGTGAAATTGAAGGTTGTGGCGGCTAATTATTTTGCCAAGGGGGAGCATGTAGAGGATGAAGAGGAGGGGGCTAAGCACCGAACCCTGGGGGACGCCTTGGGACAGAGGAGCAGTGGAGGAGGTACAGTTGTTGATGTTGATAAACTGATGTCTGTCGGTGAGGTAGGATTTCAGCCAGGAGAGTGCAGTGTCGTTGATGTTGAGTGATGATTCGAGGAGGGACAGCAGGATGGTGGTTGATGGTGTCGAATGCTGCGGTGAGGTCGAGGAGGATGAGGATGTTCAGGTTGCCGGAGTCAGATGAGAGGAGGAGGTCGTTTGTGATTTTCAGAAGAGCTGTTTCTGTAAATGGTAAATGGACTGTACTTATATAGCGCTTTATCCAGTCTTATCCGCCGGACCGATAAGCGCAGCGAAACACACACACAGGGAGAACCAGACCCGTGCTTTACGCACGTACAGGGACAGATCAAGGATGCTTCGTCATAATGACCAACCCCTTGTGTCCTGGGCTAACCCTTATAAGGGCAAGCCTGTTAAGCCTGCTAAGCAACGGCTCTCCCACTGGTTTGTGGAAGCAATTGCTTTGGGGCCCATACGAGTCAGAGTTCGCAGGCACCCTCGGGTCCGCGAGCTCTTTCGACTCAGGGTCTGGCTGCATCCTGGGCTCTGTCCAGGATGTCTCCCATCCAAGACATTGGTGCAGCGGCGAGCTGGTCCTCGCCGCTCACTTTTGTCCGCCTCTTAACAGGCTGGACGTTCTGCTCCCAGTGTGACTCAAGCAGTGCTGGGCACCTGGTTGAGTCAGAGCTCTACCTGTTAAGTTCTGGTTGGTTTGGTGATTTTCGAGATAAGCTCGTCTGACAATACGGGAGCTACAATTTCCCATAGTGAGACATCGAACGGAGTGTTATGAATGAGAACTATAGGTTACTTACGTAACCCCAGTTCTCACATGAAGTGAGATGTCTCACCAGACGGCCCTCCTTGCTATGGTGAAGCGAGAAGAGGTGCTTATTTTGAATGACGCATGCGTCGTGGCGCAAGCTACTTATAGGGGGTGAATTCCCTGACGCTGACGTCAAGATCACCAGCCAATCAGGATTGACGTAATGAGATTGATGCTTCTGTTTGCTCCGCGATGAGGCGCATCCCATAGTGAGACATCTCACTTCATGTTACTCTGAGAACTGGGGTTACGTAAGTAACCTATAGTTATTGTACTTGGCCCGAAGAATCTACGAAACAAATTATCTAAAGACATACTAACTATGGATGGCATTAATTTGGCCTCCAGTGAGACTGTAAGGAATCTTGGTGTTATATTTGATCAGGATTTATCCTTTAACGCCCACATAAAATCAATTTCAAGGACCGCCTACTTCCATCTACATAACATTGCCAAAATCAGGCATATCTTGCCTCAAAACTATGCAGAGAAACTAGTCCATGCATTTGTTACTTCAAGGCTGGATTATTGTAACTCCTTATTATCACGGTGTACCAAAAAGTCAGTCAAGTCGCTTCAGCTGATTCAAAATGCTGCAGCTCGTGTACTAACCAGAGTTAGGAAAAGGGACCACATTACTCCTGTTCTGGCTGCCTTACACTGGCTCGCTATAAAACACAGGATAGAATTTAAAATTCTTCTTCTCGCCTACAAAGCCCTTAATGGGCAGGCGCCATCTTACCTTAAAGAACTTATTATACCCTACTGTCCTACTAGGGCATTGCGTTCCAAGAATGCAGGGTTGTTGGTTGTTCCTAGAGTCTCTAAAAGTACAATGGGAGCCAGAGCCTTTTCTTATCAAGCTCCACATTTGTGGAATCAGCTTCCAGTTTGTGTTCGGGCGGCAGACACCCTATCCGTTTTTAAGAGTGCGCTTAAGACCTTCCTTTTTGATAAAGCTTATAGTTAGGGCTGATTAGATTCAGCCCCTAGTTTTGCTGATATAGGCTTAGTTTGTCGGGGAACATCTTACTTCTTCCTTCTCTCTGTCTATACCTGTGTACTCTCATGTTCCGATTAACCCAGCTTCCCCAAATGTCTTTCTTTTCGGTGTCTATATACGCTGGGATCCGGAGTCATGGATGATCCTGCGGTCCTGTGTCCTGCATCACGAGCCCTGGATCTTGAGTCATGGCTGTGGTCCTGGATCATAGGTCCTGGATGGATATCCTTGTGGATTCATCTTCCTATTATACACACATGCATTTCCAAACATTTGTACTACCTATGTTGCAAATGTATTATCTGTTCAATTTACACACGGCATTTATTGCACGTCTGTCCGTCCTGGGAGAGGGATCCCTCCTCTGTTGCTCTCCCTGAGGTTTCTCCCATTTTCCCTTTAAAACTGTGGGTTTTCTCCGGAAGTTTTTCCTTGTACGATGTGAGGGTCTAAGGACAGAGGGTGTCGTATTGTCATACTGATATTCTGTACAAACTGGGAAGTCCACTGAGACAAATGTAACATTTGTGATATTGGGCTATATAAATAAACATTGATTGATTGATTGAGAGGAGGGGAAGCAGCAGGCGGTTAGAGAAATGAGAACTCCTCTCCTCTGAGCGGTCATTTTAAAGAGACGTCCATTAATGTTGACAGGAGGCACAGCAGCCCTCTGTCTGATGGACAGATGTGTTCATGACCACTTATATATTTACTTTTAATATATATTTTACACACGGCTCTGCTTTATGCATGGACCTCACAGCTGTTCTCACTGTAAACATCGCGACGCAATGAAAGCAGTTAATAAAATAATATCCAGGGGATGCATGCATAGCTGTCATTGGCTGAGATAAGTCCGGCCGTGCGTCACGCCTCCACCGTTCCCGGAAATGCATCCGTGGAGGAGCCGTGGAGGACCCATCAGTGTCTCCTCGGTTAGAGCTCCTCCAGAGAGCCTCCTCGATGCGCATTTAGAGAAATGAGATGTCCTTCAACATGGCGCGCTGAGATCCATTTCCGGGTCACTACCGGAGGACCGAGGAGTCGAGATTAGATTATTGAGAAGCCTTCAAGTGACCCCTGTAGCTGGGCCCATGCTCACAGGTGCTGACAATCAGGAGCCAATCACCGCCATTTACACTGGGGGGGGACCAAAGTCAGGCAATGCCTACATTTGATTCCTAAACAAAATGATTCAAACACACATTGCTAGAGTCCTGTGCATCTTCACACTTGACCTACTTGTACTGGGACCCTGTCTCACATGCAAGTGGGCTGTTTAATCCTCTGCACAAAGCCCCTGCCAGACACCACGTCATAGAGCTGCATATCTGATCCTTATGTTGAAGGATTACACGGTCTCACTATGTTGCAGTCTTAAAGCATCCATTGAAGGAATTTAATGCATACCAGCAGGAAAATAAAAAGTTAGACTCGAGGTGTGAGAAGGGTATTTTTTTATGGTATGATAAAAACAGCCCAGCATACCTAGTCTACAACCCAGACAAAGGTAGTGTTCGAAAACACAGGCAAGTGAAGTTTGTCACAAAAAGTATAGTCGAGCGACATACACAGACTGATTTTGAGGCAAGTGATGACGATTTTTATGAGAAAAGTTTGTATCCACCAAGCCAGAAACCCAGGGGACTGACTCGTGTCCAAAAGAGACACAGGAGGCTCGAACGGAGACAGATGGCACAAACACTCGGAAAGGAAAGGGAGCAGAAGGTCAAAATAGAAGCTATCCCCAAAGAGACAGGAAGATACCTCAGTATTTAGAGGACTACGAATGTAAAGTACAGTGTGACGACCAGAAGTATGTAAATATTGACTACTGCAACAGAGTAATGTGCAATGTACCAAACACCTTTAAAGAGGCCATGAATTCAGCAGAGTCAAAACTCTGGACTGATGCTATGCAGGAGGAAATGAATTCTCTTAAGGAAAATGACACATTCACATTGACCACACTACCAGAGGGCAAAAATGCAGTGGGGGGTAGATGGATCTATACAATCAAAGAAAACACAGAAAAGACTGAGATATATAAAGCCATATATGTTGCCAAGGGATATAGTCAAGTGGCAGGAATAGAGTATAAGGAGACATTTTCCCCGACTGCAAACATGACATCAGTAAGAAGCTTGATGCAACTGGCAGCTCAACATGACTTACACCTACATCCGATGGA